AAACCTGTATTGCGTATTATAAATATCTAATGTTCTACAAAAATCATACAAGAAGGAAGTAAAAAGAAAATATGTTAGATATAGATAAAAAATATTTTTTCGTACTTTTATTAATAGTTTCTAGAAATAAAAGCGTAAATATAGATAAAACTGCCAAACATTGATAGATTAACGTTTTTATAAAGTAAAGCTTATTACTCTCTCTTTCTCTTAAAATTTTTTACTTTTTTCTCGCCATTTTGGACACGTTAAGTTTTTAAATCTTGTTCCAATGTTATATAAGCTAAGCGAGCTTTGCTACGCCATATAACAAGCGTCAATCAAATTAAAAAATTAAAGTTCTAAATAATAAACTTTACCTTAAGACAAAAACAATTAATCAATTATTTTGCAGTTTTATTTGATTTAACTCTTATTTCTGAAGCTATTTTTCAATATTATTCTTACAATCTTTGAGATTTTTTATGTGTATTTTGCACGTATATTTTTACCAGCATAAGATTTATTGTGTGGAAAATGTGTGATCTCTGGATTAAAAATAAATATTATTTTATAACACGTATATGTGTCATTTTTGTCGAAAAATTCTAACTATAAATATATAACGCCGAAAAAAACATTTTATTTTCACGATTCAAATCTTCACAAAGTAAATATTTGTAAAAATATGTGTAAAATTATTGAATTTATTATTTTGTAAAAATAAATAAATAATAATTATACAAATAATAATTAATTCTAGTATCTATATGATAATATATTTATAATATTTATATATATGTGTGTGTGTGTGTGTGTGTGTGTACGCAATGTTATAACGTAGAAAAAGGAGGCGCGCAGTGTTGCATATATAAACATTATAAATATAATTATTGCTTTAATACAGTATAAGCACAATGTATGTCAAGTAATGCAGTTGTGAATGCGGCTTGAGAAATAAAATCGGTGTGCGTCTTGACATGTACCAAAATGTACAATACATCGCAACACATGTCTCGTTGCTATTGCGGTTAGAGGGTCAACTGGCTCTCTGTGAGATTGAAATCAAAAATTCAAAAAAAAATCATCACTTTTAACATGATGGATTTAGAGACTTCAAAATTAAGAGTACCGATTTTATTTGGAGTAATCGCAATGAAATGTTTGCATCAGAAAAGTATTGTTAGGTTTTTAAATAAGAGGAATTTGTGGGTTTCTGAAAATATTTAATCGATAAACATGCTTGATGTAAAAAATTTCTAGATAAATAAAAATAATACCGCTCTTGACATTTACATATGAGCAAAATTATATTCGACTAATTGATTTTGTGCATTTGACGTTGAGATATTATTGCATCTCTTGATAATCTATTATCACTTTTCTGGAACAATTTAATATTAAAGAACTGTAAAACGTTACCATGTTACAGAATATAATTCTTATTATGTGTGAATTTATAAGTTTATATTATTTGATATCATTATTTACTTCATATTCTGTAAATAAAACATTCTGTAACATCAACGCGTTTTTAAAAGAGACTAAGCGGTATTATACGCTTATATCCCTCAGATATGCGTTAATCATTTTGCTTAGATCTGAGACTCGAGGCAATCACAGTATTTCCAACGGAAACGAGATTTGAGATGCTCATATTACATCGACCAAATATTAGTTGAAATGTGAACTTCGCGGTTGCGGTAGAGATCGTAAACTCTGCACAAGTTAATCAAACATGAGACATAGATTATACTTTATGTGTCTGCGCGCCTCTCTCGCATAACAATGAGACTCGAAATGTTTAGCTTTCTCTCCCAGATCAAAACTGGTGCGTTCAATTTTTGATGTAACAGATACGAGAAACTATATGTTTTATATTAAATCTAAACAATTTTTATCGTAAAGATAAATGTAGATGTTACTTTTTTTGTAAAATTATTCAATAATTATTTAATTTTAAACCCTGTTTTTCTATGATTTTCACAAATATTAAAAATTAAGAAAAGTATATATTTATTTAGTATTTTGCAACAGGATTTTATAATATATATATATACTTAATCATGGAAGACAGTATATCTTTGCCACAGCAAAATTTTAACGGACATCGAATTTAAAAGAGAAAAATAAATCAAATACTTTAGAAAAACTTCTTCTTCTAAAGCCAATCCTATCAAGCGATACCCAATGATTGGATGTAATAGAAGTCAGTGCGATTATTGATTTACACCGTTTCACAGTTTGATAAAAAAGTTTTGAGAAATATATGGCAACAATAATTATTTAAAAAAAAGAAGAAGAAAAAAATAGCACAATGTAGAATTAATTTATTCCGTTATATGCCGATTCACTCCTGTCATTAGTCTGCCATCATATGTATAATGCGCGAAAACGCATTTTGAAAATTGATGTGGAGACAGCTATTGCACCGTGTAACTCGTACTGATATGTTTGGTAATTCGGTCACGACCAACTTTATGCTTGACCGCAAACAGAGGACCCGAAGGATCGTCGAAACTTAGGACACGTACGTCGTACGCGATGTCGCGAGAAACTACTTGACACAACTCTCGATTTAGCGTCTGAACAAAAACTTTTCGTGATATAAAATCTGATAATGAATTCCATGTGTGCTCTCCTTTTATTGCAGTTCACCCGCTTGAAATTGATTTCCTGTGTTATTATTTTTTTAAATAAAATATAATATAACAGTTCTCTTTAAGAATCTAACAATTTTGTCCATTCCAACTCTATCCTTTATAAGAGAGGATTAACATAACAAAAACTTGAAATTAAACATTATGAGTAAATTGTGATATTGTGTTTTGCGCTCGAATAAATCGTGAAATCGAAAATTCTGCTTTCAATCCTCGTGTACATCATTGTCATTGTTTCAAGATGACTTGATTATTTATACGATTCGTAGCTGGTAGAATACGCGACAAATCCTACATATTAAAACGCTGAAGCGGAACAAGTTCCGAAATTTCGCCGTCCGATCGAGCCCGTATTATGCTTGCGAGTAAAACTTGCAAGTGTGCATGTTGTGATAGTTAAATCGTAAAATTATTTCCATATATGTCAGAGGTTCTCAATTTTTGCACACATTTGCTTTTTACATTTATTATCTATCTATTCATCGCTTACTACATGAATACTTTGCAGATGAGTAAGAGAGACATAGTGTTTTATAGTTCTTCAGAAAATACTGAAAAATAATCAAGAGAAAGGATATTTATAATACATTGCCTTCATTAGTTTAATTAATATAATTAGAACTAATAATTAAAATACAGATATAATATAAAATTATTAAAAGTGGATATTGGGTATTAGTATGTAAATTTGCCAGTTTTCTATTTATATCTATATGCATATACCTTGTAATAATTTGACAAATCTAATTTTAAAAAGTATGTGCAGTTTTGATTTAATATATGAGATTTATTGTTCATCTACAAAGTATTTAATAGTTGCTTTATTAAAAAAAGATATAGACTACAAATAAAATAATTATTTAAGGATTTTAGTAAAATTATCTACGTTAATTTGTTTCTCTGTTTAGATTAAAGATATTTTTATAATAAATTAAATACACACACACAAAACTCTCGTGGAAACATTAAATTGAGAAACCCTGAGATGCTCATATACATACATAAATATCATATACATACATAAATAGACCAACCTTGAATTTTTCAACGCGTACTAAAAACTCTTTCGAAAGTCGATTCAATAGTAAATTTTTATCTATTTTCTGATAAAAGTATTCACAAAAATAGAAATTATTATTTTAAAAAATTAAATAAATTAGTTTCTTTTTAAATATTCTCTGACGCCGCGAAATATAGCATATTCACGATGCACTAATGCACGAGCTTTAATCAGTGTCTTGCTATTGTAACTTAAAAAACGATTATTCTTTAACATTTAATAATAGAATTCATTAAGAAGCTTTTAAACTAACTTTACAAGGTTTGTTGCTTCCAAAAATTAACCTTCCTCTATGACATCCTAAAGCTTCTGCCCCTGTTTGGCGTCACCCTGTATATCGTTGAAGGAACGGCATAAGTTCATTTATATCGTGTATGTATATGTGTAATCTCTCTCCCTCTTTCTATGCGTGTGTGTATCGAAGTATAAATACAGATAGTTACACTGCGACGCGAGAATATGTATAGCATGTACCTATGTATCGTCGTACAAACGGCGGTCTCGGTTGCTTTTGCTTTGAGCGAAAAAATATTGCTATACCTTACGTTCTACGTTAATACTGTCATGGCGCACTTAATTATCCACGGAGACGTATAGTGTGTGTACGTGTAATATATGCTCACGTAATAAATACCCCTCCAACAGCTTTAATCCTCCGCGCTCTCGGATCTTCATTATTATCTGCTTTCGCGAAATAATTTTCAAGGGGAGTTCGCCCTCATATGCGAACGCGATTATTACATCTTAATAGCTAGTCTGCCGAGTCCTTCGGGTGCCGCGTAAGCGCCTTTGGCTTGCAATTTGTACAGATTGCCTAAAGTTCTTGCTATAATTTCGCGCAATGTTTTATTTCGCGAAGCCTCACTTAGCAAAATTATTTGAGCTATTCGTGCGAGAATTTAGCTCTATTGTTGGTGCACGTGTATACCAGTGCACGTCTGTCCCCAGCACGCCACGATAGTTCGATATCACAGTGCACGCATTCACACACGTGGACGCGATGATTCGTTGCTGCATTCGATAGCAACAAATTTACCAGCAAATAATTTTCGCTATCTGATTGCGTGTCAATTTTAATCCAGTGAAATTCAATTCTCTTTTTGAGGGAATTTTCATTTTCTCTCAAGCGTACATGTAATAAACAATTTCTATTTTTTCATTTAAAAGAAAAAATATGTATGTGTGTGCAAAACTAAATAATTAATTTTTTTTTAATTTTGTATGCATATATACGTAAAAAAAAATATTAAGTATTAATAGAGAAAACATTTTTTATTCCTATACATTTTTTTATATTTTAATATATTTCTAATCTTTATAAATTATTTGCACGGAATAGTACGGCTCGTCGAAAATAATACCTCCGTTTTTGCATAGAATATATTTTCTAAATTTCTGGAAATGTTCCATAAAATACTCAGCTTTTCTCTTTCACTTGAAAACGATCGACGCGCAACGGAATGCGAAAACCGATACGCAAACGCAGCTGCTACAGTTCCAAATACAAGAACAACAGTACCTGTTGCGAGTTTGTCGAGAAAGCCTACAGTCTCGTTGTTACATCACAAATACGACGATTCACACCGAGTCACGTTTGTCGTCCCGTATCTCTTCTTTAAGAGGTGCAAATCGCCCGCTTACACGCTGATCAGCTTGCGGAAGGCCTTACGGAATTCGGGGTTGAACACAGTGTATATTACAGGATTCACGAAGCTGTTCATGTAGCCCAACCAGGAAGTGACGATGAAGGCTGTGACACCAGGCTGACAAGCCTTCGTCAGCTTCGTGCAAATTGCATCCATGATGTTGCAAGTGAAGAAGGGTACCCAGCATATTAAAAAGACACCTATGACATATATTGCGTTAATAAAGATATGAAATTAAGTTAGCGAAAAAATGATATGCAATTAATAATTGTTATTTTTTCTAAATATAATATTTTAATTATTATTATTTTTGGTTTTATGATCTTTTTATCTTTTATAGATTTATTCATATATTTTGTTTTATATTACCATTTATTAGTACTGATTTATTATTGATAAGGAACAATTATAGAAAATCTCTTAGATCGATTAAATCGTCATACCGCACATGTAAGTATTAATTTTTCGGTGGTTTTTTTAAACCGCTTCAAATCACTTTAAATATCTTTCTAGCACATATAAAATATATCCGACTATATATTCGGACTTTTACATATGTGATCTATCTCTTCCACTCTTTTTTGCCTTTAACTCACAAGCCCAAGCTTATCAATAATAGATGCAGGCGGGGCAAGCCGAACTGATTATCAATTCAGCGGAAGGAGTGCGAGCAACCCACCTAACACGATCGCCAACGTTTTCGTGGCCTTGCGTTCCTTCTTGGCCGAGCTCTTCTCTCTCTTCTTCTTACTGGCCTTGTTGGCCTTATATATCGTGAACCTTGACCCGGCTGACGCATTTTTCCGGTCCTTCTTACCGGAGGACGACAGCACGCTGGGCGTCCTGGCGAGCTGAAGCGGTAAAAGCGAGCCGGCGCTCTTTAGCCGCTTCAGTTCCTGCTTGTTCGGGCCACTATTGTTGCCGTTCTTCTTCGTCTGCGTCACGGAGGAAACGCTGGTCGTGCCTCGAGGTGGCGGCGGCGACGACGAGGTTGACGAGGATGGTGGACCCGAGGTGATTCGCGGATTCGGGCTTGGACTGGAATTCGTCTCGAGCGCTTCGTGAATCATCGTGCTGCTCGCCGCGCCGTCAAAGCCGCTGGAGTCATTCCGCTGTACATTAGGTGCCCCGGTCAGCTGGGCCTGCGCCACCGCACTGAAACGACAACTGCGATTCGAGTGTCAAAAAGTGACTCGATATTCACTGGCTGCAATTAACTTTTAATCTATTTTACGATTTTATTGTAATCTATATTGCTGACCAATTAAGTCCGGGATTCTGTGTCGAATGCAGAAATGTAGGAACCGCGCAAAGCATGAAAAGCCATTAAGCTGGCGCAAGTATTAGATCGCGGTAATTTTATTTAATTTAATTAACTCGTCTTTTTATTATTATGAGCCATATGACTATATTTCCATATGATTGCATTCTCAGAACAATATTGTAGATAAATTTTTATATTACTTTTTCTTATTATAATATTTTCTGCACAATGCTTTTTTATGTATTTTTTATTATTTGCTGATAGCTGTAGGTAATAATTGTATCCTTGTATTCTAGATTTGTGAATATTTAATGATAATACATTTCTGCATTTCGAAGAGATAAGCGCGGTATTTTTTGATTGACACAATTTTTGGTATTTTGCTACTTTGGTATGATATAGGTAAAATATGAGAATATTTAAGAGAAAACATCTCACGGAGAATCGGATTATGTATCTGAATCAAAAGTCATGTTAACAGTTTTTATTAAAATATGCATGCAAGTGACAACAGATTTTACACCTCTCAGAGACAAGAATACGGAGGGAACGAATTGTTTTAAATAAACAATAAAATTTTATTTTTTATGTAACTTATATAAAACAGAGACTTTTTAATTATTTTTTTTACATCATATACTAAATATTTTAATATAAAATATTTTTTCATATATATGTTAAAATAATTGTATAATCGTTAGAATATTAAAATAACAAACCGCGTGCCAAGTACCGTTGCTTTTCATCGTGTGTAAGTGATTTATATAATGCCATGTTATATTATTTTTGAAGTAATTCTCTGTATTATAATTACAACACAAGACTCTCTCTCTGTGCAACTACTAAAATTTCTGTTTACAAATTACATTCTATGTATACATGTGTACAAATTACATTCTATGTATACATGTGTATAAATTCTTCGTATATTTAATACAAAATCCCTCGCGTGGCAAAATAAATCTTATTATCACTCACAATCGAGTACTGAAAATACATGTTAATTAATAATTGTGAAATGCCCGTGCCTGTAGTTGATTGGCCCATTTTCAAAGGTATCTCTCTCTCTTTCTCTCTTTCTCTCTCTCTCTCTCTCTCTCTCTTTCTCTCTCTCCAACGAGTAGTTAGAATGCAAATTGTTCACGCACGCCGGTACAAAGGGACCGTCTATCGCGATTAGTCGGCGAACTTCCGGATTACTATCGGAGCGACGAGTTTCCATTAAACGAGTACTATACGCGGGCTTTGTACGAGGTTTTGGAAATAGAGAGGCACGCGAACGCTCGCAGACCAAGTGGTCATCATTGTACCGCAGCCGTAAAAAGAACGAAGAAATTGAATGAACCGCGAAATCAACCGCTTTTTGCCACTCGCCCCATCGTATTCCTCGCACATCCGCGAGGAGATCCGTGAGTTTTTTTTGCTTTACTCAATTGCCCGATCCTCTCAAACTTTCGGACGTTCAACTTGTCGTTGCGAATATCGTGACTTTTTATTCGAGTTTTTTGATTCGATAAAGTTGTCCTGAATTGTCTTCGCCTTTTTATTTATTATGTGAGACAAATTATTCGAAAAGTGCTTCTATAATGTAAGATACTAATAAAATATTCTGTTTTCGAGTGTGTGTATGTGCGCGCAAAAAGATATTTTAATAAAATATAATTAGTCAGTTTTTGGAAAAACCTATTTAAGTTCTTAGTAAAAAATTTAAAATTGCTTTATTACAAAACTTGAAAGTTACTGTTGGACGTCTAAAAAATTATTTTCAAAATTATCTGTGTACCAAGTGATTATGTTTACTTAGTAGACAATAGAGTTATTAACTGCAAAAAAAAATAATTACAGCTCTATTTACACAAAAGCAACTGTAAAATTAAAATCCATATTTATAAATAATTATTTGTAGAACCTATTTATGTAAGGAATCAAAAATAAGAATAATATTAAATGAGAGATTGATATATTATCTATATTAATATATATTATTTCTGAGAGACATACACGCAAACATTGCTTTTTATTCAGATTATTTCTTTATATATATTTAACCGAAAATAATTACGTGTTTCCGTAATTTTTTTTTATAATTATACAATAATTCTTATGTAATATGAGTAATATGAAAAAAACTTGAACTGAAAGAGAGATACATGGGCGCAAATTTTAATCTGCTCGCGAAGTAGAAATAATACTCTCTTAATTGGAGGCTCTTTTCTCTCTCTCTCTTTCTC